GTATGTTAATCTACTGTCTTCTGGCTTCTTGACGCGAATCAAAAGCCTGCGTATTTGTTAATTCTTTTGTCGTGAGTCGAGCAGATCAGTGTGGAGAAGTCGAGGCATTCGTGATTGCAGGTTGCTCCCGAGATCACGAAATCCCCACGCGCCAACTCTTGTGCGAATCTCAGAATTTCACCAGAGTGCTCTCTCGTCCACTCAGAAGATTTCTGCACCGAAGCGCCACGGGCAAATGAGCACTCAAGAGCTGTGTAATACTTCTCTCCAGTCAGATGGTTTGTGAAAGGTGCAGAATGCAGCGAGGCCGTGTGTGCATATCCATGACATCCTGAACGCCGCGCCTCACAGCTGTCGCTGAACCCCACTCAGCCATCCCTTACAATACACATGAAAGCGGCCCTGCAGAAAGTTTTCGCCACATTGTTGCTCAGAGGGGAAGCTTTCTGCCGCCGCGCTCTCCTCGGTCGCCCCGCTCGATTGACGGCTGCCCTGTCAGTTTGTCGCGCGGCTTTAGAAAACACCAACGGCTCTCTCTGATGAAGTGCTTACAAAAGGTCATAGGGTGGAGGCGACAGAGAGAAGGGACTGAGACAGAGAGATGGAGACAGGATGGAGTGAAGGAAAATCCATAACACAAATACAGCTGTCAGAAGCAATGCAGAGTTAGTGGGAGGAGGGGGTGTACAATGACCGATGAGAGCTTATGCAAGAAGATGCTCTGCTGGAACACAACAGGCGTCCTCTCAGCTCCCCTTTCCTCTGCTCACATTGACCGTCTCCGTGCGTCTTGAGTCAAACTGCTCTCAGTCCTCCAGACTCCAGCTCTAGAGGCTGATCTAATGCTTCCTCAGCTCACACAGTTGCTCCCCTCTCACCACGTGGGGTTTTCCCTCAAATTTTCTATCTCTGCCCACCTCCACACACCCATCCATAGGAAACGGTCTCTTCTGTGCTGCGCCGTTAGGTCACTTCTTCCCACATCAATCAGCTGTTAATGGGCCAGTGCTCTAATAGACCCCGCAACACCAACATAACGGGAAAGAGCGTATTTTGTCTGATGTGAATCAGAAAAGGAAGGGTGTGTGAAATTCAGAGATTTGATAGGAGCAGATATCACCACATCAGGAACAATGGGACAAAAGTTGATAAAAGGGAAGGAAACAAATGAAGAGATCCCATCCTTTTCCCTCCCTTTAGAGTACGACATCACCTTCTGAGCTGCTGCAGACACTTAAAAAATCAAATTTGAGGTAAAAGATGTTTTAAAAGCAAACACACACACACACACACAGCCGGACACGCACATTTTCACACAACGCTCCGGCCCTCAGCTTCTCCCAAATAAGTTCAATTAGAACCACATGTATAATCAGACTGAGTCTGAAGCAATTTGGCGGCCATTTCACTTTGCAGTCAATCACGCCGATACACAACCAGAACATTCCCCACAATCCAGCTGTCCTCACACACTCATTCATTTTTCTTGCAGCAATTCTAAAATCGTTTTTAAATAACATTTCATATCATCAGAAATGGTTTAAAATGAGACTAGTTTGTGGAATCAAACAATTGCATTCAATATTGCTTGATTATAAATGAAAACATGATTGAAATGACTTTTTTCAACAACATTTTGTTTTTATCACAGTTAAAGCTTGAAATGTCCAGAGCAGTGATGTCAGCGGCAGGAATTTAAACGTTGTTTTTCCAGATTTTCTGCTAAACCCATCAGAAACATGTTGAAATGTTCTGCATTACAGCTTTTAAAAACGTGCACTAAGTGCTGCAATAGGATCTGCAGAGCATCTGACGGGTCAAACCCCTACACGTATAGCCAGGGTGTATACGGCTGCTCTTCAGCATCACTTTGGAAAGCAAAAGCCCACTCAGACTTGTGGGTTTGGGAAGGCAGGAGGGTTTTAATGAGACAGATGATGCTACCGATCCACGGGACATTTAAAACCTCCAAATACTGTCCATTTACACTCAAGCAGGACAGGTGAATGAGAAAAAAAGCACTCTCTCTCTCACACACACTTCCATGAGCCTTCTCGTGTACTCATGCTAGAGGTGAGGACTCGGTGAGTGAGTTTATGGAATAATACAATCACACTGCTGCCTTTTAATCCCATTGAAGGGGGTTTAAAGCGTACGAGATTCAAAACCACTATTGCCTTGTCTCTAGATGGTTTTGCTCCAGTCAGTCACACACACACACACACACACACACACGCATGCACACAATCAGGCCAAAAAAGGATGTTTTTTAAAATTCCCTGTTTAAGTAACTTGTGAGGAAAAAGGAGCTTGAAACAAATCTATAGAGAAATTAATAGCAACAATAAAATAAAACAGGATGCAGAAAAGACAGAGCGGGAGAGAAAGAAATCAACCAGGTGTTGAAGCATGCTTGATGAAAAAAGGTGGCAAATACAGACTCTGGGAAACAATAGCCGACAGAGAGAGTCAATCTGTCTCTGACACCTCTGGCTTCCTGCACACTCACATTTTCCCTCTTTCTCTCCAGCTTTAGCCTCTAACATACTTTTTTGGTTCTTTGTGTTTTATTATTTTTACGCTTCAATGAAAAGCAGCACCTGTGTGATCTGCCAGTGCTGCTGCAGAAGTCTACAAGTCCATCTCAGCAGTAGCTCCTGTGTCAGGTTTAAGTGATGACTGGAGACAATCAGATTTTTGATAAAGTAAATCTACAAAAAAGATTTTTGTTTGTTTAAAAAATAAAAAAGACTGATGAACTGAGAGACCTTTGGAGCTGAGAGCTGAGAGAGGAATTATTATAATTACAATTATCATTCTGGCAAACATTTATATTTTTTAATCATTTGGAAACAGTGCCTTTAAAATTTGTAGAAATGAGTTCCAAGTTGTTATAAACATTAAACCGAAGAAGGCCAAAACACTTCAAAGCTCAACGCTTCTCTTCCTTTATAATAAAAAGTGGCTGTTTGACGCACTGAGACTCTTCCTAATTGTTTTCTCGTTATTGACCGCGCGGCGCGCACCTGGGGCTACGCGCCGCCACCAAATACCTGTCTCCTCCCTGCTCAGCACCAGAAACGTGGCGAAGGTCATAAAACGTGATTAAGAGCTTTTTCATCCCCGCCGGATCTGCTATTAAAGCGCAATTAAAAGTGTGTCATCACGTCACGCAAAAAATACCGCCACAGTGGGGGGAGGGGGTGACAACAGCCGAGAGAGGACACAGTAAATAAAATTAATTATGCCAAATGCCCTCGCGCCCATCAATCACGGGGCAATAATACCCGTGTCAGAGCGCGCGCCCGCACGGCCTGTATGCTTCTCTCTGAATGACAGACAACTAACAGCAATTAATTGTCATTTCTCTCCTCTTTTTTATCCTTTCTTTTTTTGAAGGGGAGTGTCAGGACCGAATCTGACATCCGGGAAATCTTTTTCTCGCCCTTTTATTTTTGCGGGAAATGACAGAAATAATATAAAACTTTTTTTTACTCCTCAACTGAATTCAAAGTCATTCGATTTGTTACATCAGCAAAATCTTTTATTATGTCTGCATACTGTTTTAACCGACAGCAGGATTAAGTTGGCTATTGATGGATGATTGTTTCAGGGCCTGTTGGGGGGGGGGGGGGGGGGGGGGGGGGGTGTCAACGAACAAGAAGAGTTTCTGCTTGAATTCAGTGAATTTAACGTAAACTTTGAAATCATTTAAGCAGGTTCTTTTAATCAGAACATCTTAATTATTTTCACTTTGACTCGTTTAGTTAAACATTATTAAAAAGGGGATTGCTGTAATGCATCCAGCCGATTGCTTAGATTTAACCCAAAACTGTTTAATAACTCAAACCTCTAAAACAATCAGCTCCAAAGGACTTTTCTGTTTGATTTGGTGAAATCCAGTTAGATGTGTAGAAAACCCCTGAGACAGATCAAACCAGAGCTCTCCCTGAGTGGGTCCGGTTTCAAAAGTCAAAATCATTTGAAAAGAAAGTATTGTTCCCCAAACCTATTGACCATGTCAGCTCCAGAAAGCTGCTACCCCCCCCCCCCCCCCCCCTCTCTCTCTCTCTCTCTCTTTCTTATGAGACAAGGACTCTTTCATCTTCACTAAGAATGTGCAAACCCCCTTTTTAAGAATTTTAAACGTTATTGTTTATTTATCAGATAAAGCATATATGTAGAGGACATGCGTTTAGCGGCTGGAGATGAAAAAGGTAACAAAAGCAGTGCGGCTGTGCGTAAAATCCTCCAAATGTGATGTTAAAGTCTTCCATCACTCACAGATTTTTTTCCTAAAGCAAGAAGAAAATAACTTTTCTTTCTCTAAAGGACAATAGTTTAAACGACACACTTTAGGAGGACAAAAATGAATAATTCAAAGAAAAAAAGACGCAATTTTGTCTATTTTTTGCGTTCGGGGGAAATGTACGTCTAAACAGGCCTGTTATTGATTATTAAACCCATTTGAACCAAAGCAGGTCGAGGAAAAACATAAATGCTGTTGAAATGATGGAAAACAGCGAGAAGAAGGATTATAAAAAAGAGTGAAAAGTTTGAAAGTTAGACTAAAGTTGAAGGAGAGAAGTGGAAAAACAAAAAGAAGCGAGCTCGGCCGCTGCGTGAGTTCTGCTCTAATGCTCCATATCACAGCACGGGACTTGCGGGAGTTTTACCAACATGAAAAGAGAAAGAAAAAAAGTTCCTCGGTGTTTCTAATCTAATGTGAGCTTCGTGAGGAGGATGAGAGAAAGAGGAAAGTAAAGAGCAGATAATGCATCAACCTGTTCTCTTGGTTTCTGAAGAAGTCAACTTTCACGCCAGTGGTTGGACCATGTGGACTGCCCCGCTTCTGCTCCTCAGACCCCGGCGCGTCCACTCTCTCTCACGCGGCGACAAAAGGAGAGGTGGTGGTGAGTGGGGGGACACAAACCGACTGGACGAAAAATTACAAAAAAAAAAAAAAAAAAAAAAAAAAAACAGAAAAGAAACTGGGAGACACGGGAGAAATGTGGGATCTAAGACCGCAGGAGCATTAAGTTTAAATGGGTAAAGCGTGGCTCGTTAGTCCGTTTCCTTTTTTTCTCCTTTTGTGTGCGTCCTCTCTCCTCGGAGTGGCCCCTCTGGAGTGAAGTCGGAACAATACTGCCTCTGAAAACTCTGGGCACTGTGCGCGCAAGTTGTCACGGAGAAACAGCGCGGCTTCTCGTCTTTTGTTGATGTCGTTTCTTTAGTTTGCTCCTGGTTTTCCTTCTCCGGTTCTTTTTCAGGAGGCTCGTTCAGCGCGCAGAACCTCTCCACCGGTGTGCACTTTTTGGCATCCTGTCTGTTGCTCGATCGCTGGAAATCAGGGTTGAATCACTTGGACTGAGTGTGTGTGCGCGCAAGTGTTGAGCATGTGTGTGTGTGTGTGTATGTGTGTGCGGGGCACGGTTTGCTGCGCTACCGTAATGCCTCTAAATCAGGTGCGCGGATTTCATCGCTGGACTGTTCTGCGCACATAACAGCCACTGAGAAGTATCTCTGTTGCTCTTCCACTGTGTGTGTGTGTGTGTGTGTGTGTGTGTGTGTGTGTGTGTGTGTGTGTGTGTGTGTGTGACACTGATCTTTTGACCTCTCCTTTGCATCCTTGGTGAGTTGTGCTATTGTGGAGGCAGAGAGGAACAGATGTTAAAGGCTGCACAAAGTTTGAGCCCAGAAACCATCACACAAAAAAACGAAACAAAAAAAAATCCCCATCAACCAAACACAAGTCTGCTGCAGGACACTTGATGAGCTCCAGACTTTACAGCAAACAAGAAAATAGATTAAAGTCCAGACACATTTTTGAAAGTGCAGATAAGATATAAAAATAGAAATACACTTAAATAAATTTCCTTCTTGACAGATTTTATAGAGAAATAACTTTTATTTTGATGCTAAATTATATTAGTTATTGATTAATTTTGAAAAACTGTACGCCATCCTAAGCACAGCTTCGTTCTACAAATAAAAATAAACTTAGTGGACTCACTTTTGTGATGTACCTGCCTTAAATTTAGACATTTATATTGTGATTAGATAAATTTTACTGTCTGCGTACATCGCAATGTCCTTTATGTATTTTGGAAGCTTGACAACTCCTTTTTCTGAGTTATTACCACCTTTTCCCCACCACCACATTCATTTACTAATTGACAGCATAATCAGTGTTGAGATTACTGATGAAATTTGGAAATTACATCATAGCGGTCATGGAGGGGGAAAGAAAAAAAAGTACTTTAATTCAAAAGATGATCCAGGATTTTTTCTTTTCTTTTTTTTTTGCTTTTGCATTAGCCATTAAATGAGAATTTGCCCTTCTGCTTTTCTTCTATCTAAGCTTTTACCTTTGGAAAATGATGGCAGTCCATCACAGCACCACCCAACAATGAGCTACGACTGCTGTAAATCACAACACATTCATTAGTACGATCAATACCACTAAAATATGTGTGTCTGTGTGTACATGACCCCATGCACAAGCTCTTTTACTTCCTTTCTCTCTGAGGCTGAGGGAGTTTGCAAGGGGACTTTGACACATGTCTTTAGTGGGTCTATGGAGACTTGATGGGTGATAATTAGAAAAAGTGGATCAGGAAGAGGGATGCTTTTGTAAAGGAGAGGCATTTTAACTTTTTGATCTGCAGAACCTGAATTGTGCAGCTTCTCAATACAAATCTGGTCGCAATACAGTCTTTAGATGTTTATAGCAACACTAAAGAGGTTTTAACACTTTAGTTATTGCTTTCAAAAGGGATTTCAGTGGTTCTTGAGCCATACATTTGAGCTACTTCATATTGGACAACACTCTGTAATCTCTGCAGACCAGAAACTGCGCTGAACAGTTTTGTGGTTCAGGTATAGGAGCAATAATGGGAGGTCTCTGATTCATGGCAATAGCTGTGATGTGAAATTCATGGACATCGGGGGGAGACGTTGCACAACTGGCTCTTTTGAATGGCTGTTTGAGGTAAACGACCAACCTAATGACCTAAAGTACAGCTCCCTTCAACAAGTCATAAGACCTCTCACTAATGGGCTCGACACACGGGAGGCGACATCGCCTCTCCTCCATTCATTTTCAATGAGACATGCGCGACAAAGCAATAATCGCGGGTCTCTCTCCTACCAAGCGAAACGCGAAAAACGTGCATGTGAAAGTTTGCACTCGTGCACGTGTCGTGCACGTGTCGTGCACGGACGACCCAGCGACGCGATCCCAGAAAGTTGAAACATTTTCAACTTTTCATCGCTGTCGCTCGGACGACGACCAATCAACGGAGGTTTCATTCACTGACCAATGAGCAGACAGGATGCTCCGCACATCTCCGAGCAAACATGGAGGAGAAGTTGATTATTATTATGTTTTATGTAGTAAAATCAGAAGTAAGATTTCACATAACTCTAGCAGCAACTTGTGAAACATCATATCTACCACTTTATTAACTCTGAACTGCTTAAATAACCTTAATTCCCTCCAACCTGACACAGCCAAACAAAACAACGGAAGTTTCGATTTCGCCATGGAACAGAACGCGTAGACGGCTTTGCCGCTGGCCGCTGCCGTGGGTAGCCTCCCGTGTGACAGGTAATAAAAGCGACAGCGACAAATTTCGCTGATCGCGGTCATTTGTCGTGCCCGTGTGTCGAGCCCATAATGTTTACTGTGCTGGTAGGTAATAAGAAGGCTAGCAGTTAGCTTTCTCAGTTTGGCAAATGCTAATAAACGAAGAAGAAGAAGAAGAAGAAGAAGAAGAAGAAGAAGAAGAAGAAGAATTAGCTTTTTTAGTGGCATCATGGCAGAGTCTGGATTTAAAAGTAAGAAAGTAGTAATTTTGGAGTTGAAGCAAAGAGCTAAAATCAGAGTGAAGATCTGCACAAAGTTAAAGAAGGCTTTGTAATCACGGACTGATGGTGACCTGGCTTTGTTGCTGCTGGACTTACTACTATACAACATACTATTATTTAGTCCAAAAGTGTGGCTCTTTTTACTTTGTGGCTCATTTGGTATCAGTTAGCTCATGTTAGCATTAGCTTGTTGTTGGCACTAGCCACAGCAGGCAATGGCAAGATTTTTAACAACAATTGCAATTCCACTTTCAACCAGCAGGAGGGAGAAGCGGGAAACCTATTCAGTGTTGCTTTATATTTTACTATGTTTTTTTGAGAGAACTCATACATCACCAATACATATGAAATGCTTGAGTCAGCATTTGGTTCATGTGTAACTCTATTTAACAAATGTGCAATGTTTGTTCTACAAGAGCAGTACGAGCCGGGTCTATGTTCGTTTACAACGAGCTGTTTCTCTGACAGAAAATAACTGTGAGGTTCTGCTGATGTACTCCTATAATTATGTTTATTTACTATTTTCTCATGTGTTATTCCCAATCATCCACCTATTTTGCTGTTTCCATATTATTCTACTATAAAGATCTCATCTAGACATTTCATTGTTGCACTAATGTGAATTTCCCGGCATCAAATAAAGGTTTTATTCATTAAAACAATCTAAGTTTGATTTAAAAATATGTTACACTGATTAGTGATGATAAACAGTCTGCATTCTTCAGCTGCAAACATGTGAGCAACAGAGTGCAGCCATGAAACTGAATCACTCATGTGCTTGTTGTTGTGTAACTGTTGACATTTTGACTAACAACATAAATCACCTCCTCCTGCGTGCAGAATCAGCTTGTGCTTGTTGTTGTTTGTCTGTTTTGGCTCATGGTTGTATAAAATTACAGGGTCACACAAACACATGCAGCTCACGGGCTGTTGTCTGGCTGTCCAGTACAGAGCTAAAACAGACCAGACGAGGAGCTGGATGATGAAGCATGGAAATCAAACATCCTCCTTTTGGAAGGAGGAGGAGAACACACAGTTTGGCCCCGTAACCCATCTTCCATCCCATTTAGGAACCCTTCTTTTTCCTGTTAATCAGGAGGAATAATTATCAAAGTGGACAGGTAATTAAATTAAAACATAAGTGGCTACATGAGCCGGGTTGGCTGTAGTACAAGGTTTTTCCTGGCTTAATTAAAGAGAAATATGGGAGTTCTCGCCCAGGGTGTCACAGAGCCGGTATGAACGAGAAAAAAAACTCCCCCTGCCACCAACTTGAATAACTCATTCTGATCGCTCCAAAGCAGGAGTTTGGATCACACTGAAGGAGGTGGTGGCGACTCTGGCCCAACCTCACCAGGCCGGACCTGAACCAGTCGCTTGTTTGTTTGCATATGGAAGCAAATGCCATGTGTGTGGCGGTGAGTTGACTGAGTTGCAGAGGGGGAAAAAAGTAAAGGCTGCGAGCTCTTTCAGCCATCTGGGAATAATGTTGTAAAATAAAGCTGCAATAAAATAAAACTTACAGCTGTTGATGTTTACAAACAACGCCCACAGAAAATCCCCACTGTGCCTCAAGAGTCAGACCAAACACACACACACACACACACACACACACACACACACACACACACACACACACACACACACACACACACACACACAAATAAACAAACCCAGAGCAGGAATGCAGCACAGAGAAAAAAAAAATATTATCCAAACATTCACAAACACACTCAGACGTAGCCCCATCCACTTTGGAGCAAATATGAGAGAGCATGTTGACAAATAAATACAAAAGAGGAATGCAGCACCCAGAAAACACACACACACACACACACACACACACACACACACACACACACACACACACACACACCTACACACACACACACACACACACACACACACACACACACACACACACACGTGCACACACACACACACACACACACACACGCACACTCACACACAGACTCACACACACACACACACATGCACACACACACACACACACACACACACACACACACACACACACACAGAGACTTGTGCACGCATGGACGCATGCACGCACACATACATACACACACACAGACTCTTGCACACACACACACACACACACACACACACACACACACACGAACACACACACACACACACACACACACACACACACACACACACACACACACACACACACACACATACACACACACACACACACACACACACACACACACACACACGCACACACACAGACTCTCGCACACACACACACACACTCATAAACACAGACTTATGCATGCACACGTGCACACACACACACACAGACTCACGCATGCACGCACACACACACACGCACACACGCGCGCACACACACACACTCACACATGCACGCACGCACGCACACACACACACACTCACACACGCACGCACACACACACTCACACACGCACGCACACACACACACACACACACACACACACACACACACAGACACACACACACACATACACTCACACACTCACGCACACACACACACACACACACACACACACACACACACACACACACACACACACACTCACACACGCACACACACTCACACACGCACGCACACATACAGACGCGCACACTGAATGATTGGAAGACATTCTCAAATATTGTGTTCATCACTTCTCATTC